GTTAGCGGTGGGTGGTGATGACTAGCTGCCTTCCCTTTAGTCTTACACTGCTAAATTAGAGACGGCTAGCGCAGATAGCCCTCGTGCAGCTTTGCGCGAAATTCAAAACAAACAAATGTTTTATGTAAGTTGCCCGTGTTTAGAAACTAGAGAATTTTAATTCACTAACTTTTTGAAATAAAAAAAGACAACATAGTTAATCATCTCGAATTCAATACATAAAGCATGCACGTATAGATTAATCTCGTGACGAACAATTAAGTACTAAACAGATGTACGTAAGCTGAGTACGTTATTTTAAAACAATTTTTGAATCTTAACATGTAGCTACTATTCACATAGGCACGTCCAGTGATGCTCTAACTGACGAGTTTGCATCTTACAATAGCCATGCAACGTAATTTCCGTTGCAGAAGGCGGTGTCGTAAAGCAGTCATGTTCAAAGTACATCCTTCCTCCTTGCATGCTTTCTATACGTTATTTAGTAAACTAGGACAATAGTTTTCCAGTGCGATCGCACAGAAATCCATAGGCGACTTGATTAGTATGTCATTGTATGGATATTATAACACGCAAACGCATTCAAGTTGTATGAGTTAAGCCATGGTTGAATGGAAGCAGTATTTTGTACACGTGGCTTGTGTTGCTTCTCCAGACGGGGATCCTTCTTGATTGTGTTTCGTACTTGTGTGGGCTACATCTATAGCTTTTGCCACTGACTGTTGTGTTTATGAATTACCAACTGCCACGAGATGTCGCACTTTTCTAACCACAACTGAAGAACGACTTATTGCATGTTTCTTTATGGAGGAACCTGGTGCCCCAAATTGATCCATATTTTTTTTTATTTTCCAGCGCCTCAAGTACGAAGGATATCTCCGTCTTGCAAATTCTAAATCTTTGATCTCAACACGTCTTTATTATCTGTTATATATCCTTCCCCAAAGCGATACATTTTTGGTAGCATCACAGTATGTAACGCCAAATAATATCAGAATGATTTGTTACATTCTATTTCACTGCGATTTATATTTTCTGTGGTCGTCACGTGACTTACTGAGTTGCATACTCAAAACTTTTTTAATATAACGTACTCATGTATCTGTATATTTGTTGAGCATAGCATTTCAATTTGTTTCATAAATGCGTGTTAAAATATGGTAGGGCATTCAAATAACTATTAAACACTGGCAATGAATAATATATTATATAACATACAAAATGATCAAGGAGAATTAAGAATCGGTAGGATAAAATAAAATGTAGAATATACTTCAAAATGAAAATCATGATTTTATGTGTTTCATTTACACACAAAGAAGTGGTTGTGTTGAAGTTTATTGTTAAATTTGTTTTATTTGTTTATTAGCTTTTTGTATTGTGTTCCATATCTACTTCTTTTATTATCTTTTACAGAACAGAACAGTTTTCATAAGAGGCCCTAAAGTCCATAGTTGTTCATATGTTATCAACAGCGTGCTCTATAAAGAAAGTTTGAACCGGGAATCTTGAAAAGCGAAATTATGTAACCGAGGCGTTATGATAAGTATAAGAACAGATATATGTAAATAGGCGTTACACATAGCGGAACTCTTCAGTATCTCGCATGTCGTACACCAAACACAGGACCGCCGACAGGGGGAGGCAAAGGGGCAACTGCCCAGGGGCTCGGGCGAATGAAACCTGGTTATGCCGTAAAGCCCGCAAAGCATCTTTAAGCTATATCTTCATTTAATGATAAAACCATAGTTTTTGGCCTTTCTTTGCATATAGACGCTTGATACATTAAGAACGACTGAAATAATAATTTGAGTAATAATTAATACGTATTTGTTACTTTATAGATTTAATAGATACTTGTTGTTACTTTATTAACGTTTTTACGCTAATACTGTGAGGTAAAAACGGCTGCTGCTATTATTTTGTCTGGTTTATGAGCTCGTTGCTGTCATAATTTAGGATCTTCTTTTAAATAAATTATTGAAAATGTTAAAAAAAAGAGAGAGAGAAAGGGGCTCGACGAGGATGTTTGCCTCGGGGCCCGTGCTAGCTCTCGACGTTCCTGACCAAACATCACAACTCCATAGTGATATACTTGATGTGGATTTATAAACAACATCCATATATATTCAGTTGAACGACGATATCTTAACTGGAACTAAATATCTATAAAACTATTCAATTTTTTATTATTATTAATATTATTTGTTTGATTTTATGCACAAAGCTACACAATGGGCTATCTGTGCTCTGCCAACCACGGATTATTAATATTAATTGCTCTGTATGTTCAGCAGTATTTCACATAAAGTCTCATGAAGGCCATTATTGATTAATATGTGCATAATGTGCGTTATGATCAACAAATATACTCTGGTTTAAATAGAATTAATTTGTTGAATTTTTAATATGTCATATAAGAGAGCATAGAGCCTTCTGGGGAGAGTAGAAAAAAAAGATACAAAAGAAACAAAAAACAGGCACATCAAAATAGTACAGAAAATCAGCAAAAGAAAATTTAATGCTTTTAAGGTATTGTTAAGACAGCGGAAATCACGTGATGCTGCTGACTGAGTTTCTCGAATGATCGGGATGTCCGAGTGTGTTCGAAATGCCCTCTTCATTGGTATATAAGCCTGGCAGAGAAAGCCAGCAGGGATGAATGAAGAGAGAGCATAAGTTACTTTGAGTTCCGTGTAATTTATGATTCTGTTAGTTTCGAATTAGTGAGCTTTAAAGTGTGTGTTTTGCACTCGTCGAGAGTGAAGTTATCGAGATTGTGAGTCGCTGTGATTTATAGCGTGTATTATAAAAGTTGTTAAGTTTAAAGAAACTAGAAACGTGCTGATTGTGGAACTACTGTGTACTAAAAGTTTCTATTGAGGAATAATAAACTGGTTTAATTAAGAAAGGATTTGTATCGCTGAAGATCAATAGAAAGAATTTCTACCGGAAACAAAAAACAAGCAGATACGTAACAGTATTTAATGACACACATATTGAAATCATTTCTGAACTATGCATAGTGTTTTAAAAATCTCGAAAGTTTTTATAAAAATGAAACTAGTGGATGAAATTATTTTACCTTTGACATGAAAGATCCTATATGTATGTGGTTTTTGAAAAGTAAGATATTTAATTTTGATTTTTTTCTAAAGCAATGTTTTTCTCATGCCTTTATTTCTTTTCACATGCAACATGCAAAGAATTTTCATTTTCACATGCAAAATTTTTATAATGTTCAGATAGTTACCAAATATTTCTTAAGAAAAACTTCTTTCATCTGTTATTTTCATTAAATAATATCTGTAAGGGTTCGGTCGATTTGATCGATCTCGTTACCACCATAAAAAATTAGGCAATAAATATAAATTAAGCCTTTTTCGTTTTAGAATGACTACAGAGTATATATCACGAAAACATAAATGTTTAGACTAAATGGCTTAAATCTCATAACATCATACATTTATATATATTTATTATTTTTATTATATTGACCTTTCAGCCGTGCCTGGCTAACAATACAGAAGTTACAATGACGCGGCGCAAGTGCACTCATGTTAATATATCCAATAATATAAATCTGACTAGTATTTGGACTAGTATTTTGTAGCCCCCAGTGGCACAGCGTTATGTCTGTGGACTTACAACGCTAGAAACCTGGTTTCAATACCCGTAGTGGGCAGAGCGCAGATAGCCCATTGTGTACCTTTGTGTTTAATTCCAAACAAACAAACAAGTATTTTGTAAAATACAGACACATTTAAATGATTATACATTATATATGTATAGAGATTATTACTATTTACAAATAAGTTCTTAAACTTTATTTTTCTTAAAACATAAAACAGTAAATAAAGAAGTAAAACAAACAATTATCTCTTCTAGTTCCGACCTTTGTACTGGATTGCTGCTTGTCGTAGTTGGCTAAACTTAATAAATTCCGCACGTGTAGGATGTGAAACGAAATAATTTTTGAAAGTTTTATATATATATATATATTGAATAACCAAAAATCATAAATTACTATATCGATACCATAGAACTCAATCACAATTTATGAATTTTAGTAACTAAGCTGTATTTGGGTCTAAACATTTTTTTAAATTTCGAGCATACTGAAAACTCGACTTATCTCTATGCCGTCTTGTATCGAAAAAAAGAAATAACGCCGATATATTTGAAAATAACTAAGAAATCCACTAGGGGACATTCTGAACTTTGATTGGTTATTCACATGTCATGTACAGAAGAATGTATATATATAAGGGACCGTTTCTAAAAATCGAAAGAGGTGAGCGGAGCCATTGCGTTTGATTCGGTACATGAGCGATATCTCAACAAATATACAATATAGGAGATTCTTATTTTATATTCTAGCTCATCAATATCGTTAATTTGAGTTTCTAACTCGTACAAAATTATATAATTTGTATTTTGACATCACAAACATCTAATTTGAACCAGTGCTGCATTAAACATAACACGTGGCACAGAAAAATCGATGTTTACATGTGTGTTTTTAATATTTTCTTTTAAATTAAGAAATTAAATGATATATAAAACTAAAATTTGAATTATAATCTACAGTTTCTTACCAAACTTAATGATTATTTCATGTAATAGTAGTTCAATAAAATTTTCAATGCGAGTCAACAAACGCGATGACATGGCTTTTGGCCCGTGACCCGTATGGAAAGGGTTAATTACATAATATTTAATGTACAAGTATTTATTGTAAGTGGTTATAATAAGAAATACTGACAGTAGGAAGAACCATTAAAACTATAGGACTACTAATTACTATATTTTAGGTACATTGTGAAAAAGTGTTTCAATCTCGTATTTTCTGGCTTACTGGTCATTTTCATACAAGTCTCTATTCATTTAATGCAAAATGAACTGATCATGTAATGTGTCAGGTCATTACTAAGCTCCCAAAATGCAGAGATATAGTCATATTATCTTTAGTATGAAAAACAATGAGTAGAATCAAATATTTCTCTGATTTTCAAAGTGATGTGATAGTGGGTGCTTGTCTAACAGAAGAATCATTATTCGTGACCATCTGACCAACTTTTAAAATATATCTGTCAGCAGAGGCCATCAACACTGGAAACTGAAAGGAAAAAGTAGCTGCTATCTATTGGTAGCCGAGTAAGAGAAAGGATGCTTGAACAGTGATATAAAGTGCAATGGAAGCTAGATTATCACAGATGACTATCTCTTTTAACAATGATCAGGAATCGTCTACTTATAATTATCTCTAACCGTACCACCCTCTAGTGGCTCAGCGGTAAGTTTGAGAGCTTATAACGCTAAAAATCGAGTTTTGATACCCACAGTTGGGAAAGCAAAGATAGCTCATTGTGTAGCTTTTTGCTTGAACAACAAACTAGCCGTACTATGCGAATGACTTAAAAAGAACAGCCATTTGGCAGCTGACAACCAGTACGAAAACTGCTAACAGGAAGGCACAGCTTCGGTGATGCTTAAAGCTCAAATTATAGTAAATGAATTATTAGACATACGTGACGTCATCTCATGATTAGTGTTTCATCCTTTTCTGTTCTGACAATGAAAAAACAGTGAGGTACTTGTTGCTTCTTTTGTTACCCTGACCGTGCAATCAGCTGGAGGTGTGATGTAATGCTGTGTAAAACCTTCTCGTGCCACAAGTTGTCATTCGATTCCCTTAGATGAGTAAATAACATTGTTACCAGTTGCATCCATCCTTCAGTGTAGCATTTTTACCCTGATGGTAAGGTGACAATCCATTGTGCTGGTATTGTCTAAAACTGGTTTGAAAGCTATTACTTTAGTAATTTTCCTTCATCAGCATAATCCTCACTTTGAGATGATCTTTGAACATTGCAATACCCACTTATCTTCTGCTGAGATATATTGACCACTTGCAGACCACACTCCTCGACGGATGGCCTAGAAATAGCTTTTCCGCAACATCTTGTGACTCTGTGCCACACTGATTGCAGGCTACAAGATAATCCAACCCAATATTAGATGGACAGTTAGAGTATACTCTCCAACTTACTTACATGCCTTGTTGCAGTAAGTTGAAAGTACTTGTACCAAGAAATATTAATAAAACAAGTTTATTAATTAAGAATTTATCAATCCACAATAGCTAAATTGGTAATCATAGAAGTATAAAATATGTTTTGCATAATCGGAGAATATATAAATTAGGTAAGGTAGTCAAAAAAATTTAAAACCACAGAAACTAGGTCGAGTAATAATGGAGACATTTAAAATTTTCTGAAGCGAAATTTAGTAAAACGGAATGTATAAATTTACACTATATTTGTTAACCAAGAAAATATACGTTTCAGATGCTGGATTGAGCAATTGATAGTAACTAGGGACAGAAATGGTATTAGAATTTCAAGCGTAATACAGTAATTGAAAATTATTTATGTATTGTAGGTAAACTCATATTTATTATTTTTATTGATAAGTTTTATATATTTGTTATTTAAAGACTAGGTAGTACAATGACTCATTTTATTTATAATGGTTGTTGATCTCTGGTTTTCATCATATGTAACATTTCATGATAAATAACTTTTAGAACTGTATAATAGGGGCATTCAAGCTGTATGACGTGGACAATGATGGATATATCACTCGGGAGGAAATGTACAGTATTGTAGATGCTATTTATCAGATGTTGGTGAGTACTGTAGTTGCCAGTTTTTTGAAGTCGACGAATTTTGTAGATGTTATTTATTGGATGTTGGAGAGTATCGTAGATATCACTTGGATGATGTCGACGAGCAATGTAGTTGTTATTTTTTTATATTGGAGAGAACAATATATGTTATTTATTTGATGTTGGAGAGCACTGTAGATGTGATTTATTTGATGTTGGAGAGTGCTATAAATCCCATTTGGTTGATGTGGACGAGCATTTTAGAAGTTATTTATTGGATGTTGAGGAGCACTATATATGTTATTTTTTTATGTTGGAGAGCACTATAGATGTTATCTATTGGATGTTGGAAAGCACTGTAGATGATATTTATTGGATATTGGAGAGCACTGTAGACGTTATTTATTGGATATTGGAGAGCACTGTAGATGTTATTTATTGGATGTTGGAGAGCACTGTAGATGTTATTTATTGGATGTTGGAGAGCACTGTAAATGTTATTTATTGGATGTTGGAGAGCACTGTAAATGTTATTTACTGGATGTTGGAGAGTACTGTGGATGTTATTTATTGGATGTTGGAGAGTACTGTAGATGTTATTTATTGGGTGTCGGAGAGTACTGTGGATATCATTCATTAGGTGTTGGAGAGTACTGTGGATGTTATTTATTGGATGTTGGAGAGTACTGTAGATGTTATTTATTGGGTGTCGGAGAGTACTGTGGATATCATTCATTAGGTGTTGGTGACATTATGTAGATGCTGTTTGTGTAATGCTCTCTGTTTGGTTTGTCACCCTACAGTATGTATGCGTGTGAAATCGAAGAACGTCAATTAACAGCATATCCAAAGATTGTGGGGGATTAGTTTTTGTTTTAAGCTTTATGATTAAACTATTACCAGTAGGTTACACTTAGGATAACCGTTACGTGTAAGTTTATTATTAAGAAATAACTTCATATTGGAATGAATTAAAAATAGAGTACTTTAGTTGAAAGTTTATATAAAACAGCCGTTCTTGTTTTTAAGATGAAATATGCTAGAAAACTATCATTAGTAAATGGAGTGAAAAGTTTTGTTTTTTCTTCTTGTAATCAGAATGTTAAACATGTTAAAAGTGGCAAGACAGATTAAAGGTGATGTTTTTTCAAGTATTCTCATAGCAGTTTATATGGCGTTTGACATCATTCAGGCTAAATCGTACTGAACATGGCTTGTAACACTTCTTAACGTATAATACAAACACAGAATAGAAGAGCCATGATTTTTAGAAAAATCAATCAAGGGTATAACCACATTTGTTGACAAGATACTACTTCGAGACTACTAAAAATAAAATAAAAAACTTGTCGAAACGTTGTATCTTGGTTACTTTGTTAGACTCGTAATAATATTTCTTCGTTACTCTTTAAAGTCGTCTCTAAACTGTATTAAGAGTATAGTGTGCAAGAGGTTGCCTCCACTTGCTTGAGCTCATGGCACTCGATATCATTTTGATCAAAACAACCAGAGTGCTGCTATACTGCAGCGCCATCTTCCGTTAAAAAATAAATGCATATACAATTATTTTTAATAAATTTAGTATGTTCAGTAAGTAAGGAATTCGGGATCAGAATTGTTAAAAGTACGTCTGGACAGTTTCTGATATAAATACATTTTTACACGTTTTCACACTGATAGATTTCTTAATATCTGTAGAAAAACTAAAATAATCAAAAACGGTTTAGACCCTGTTAGTATACCGTCTGAGGAAAGCACTAAGTGGAGGGTGAAGGTAAAATACATTTCATAGCTAGAATAAATATTTAGAGTTTACTCATTCTTACGTCTTAGAGGGTATATGGAAACTGCCTGAAGTTCAAGGCAAGTCTGATTTTACTTAAATTATATTTTAAGTTGTTTTTTTAATATTTTAGAAATATTTTCTAAGATAACCAGACCAGAAAGTGATCGACCCACCAAATTGTTAATCTTTCTTCTTTTTTTCGACTGCAATCAAAGTTTGAACAGTAGAACGATGGCAGCAATAATGAAAGTATGAAACGTGTGTGTACAGTAACAAACATTTAATTTTTGAACGTTTCGGAATATACTTATTCTATCTTTAGTCGGCTATATTGAACATGGTAAATTACTAGGTACACAATTTTATAAGGTTTAAACATTTTATAAAAGTAATTAAAATACAGTACAAAAGGCAACCAAATAAATAATAAAGAATAGGGCAACAATTATAACAGTGTTATACAAGGTGTTCAGAACAGATTTAACTCTAGTGAAGCTGTGCTATTATTTAAAGTTGGGAGTTAATTTATCATTAATAAACTCTCTTTAATTAAAAGTTCAATATTGAATGATCCAGATGAGACGACTTTGAAATTCGTAGTCAAGATGGGGTGGTGGTTGTTTTCACTATGTGTGCGAATCGTAAATTCTGGTGGGTTTGATAGTTTTTACCAGTTCTGCTTGATACTCCCATTTTCGCAAGCTTGCAGGTGCAATTGGCATATAGTTTTGCCAATGTAAGTGGCATTACAGTCATCACCTGTATTTATATAGATCCTGGAACGCATAGAGGTAGGTAATAGGTCTTTAGATCTGAATAGATTTTGTATTTTGAAAGGAGATTTAAATATCATTTGTTCCTAAACTTGTGGATAAAACGTCTTAATTATTCTTAAAATGTGTGACTAAACTATAAAACTTTGCTTATTAACTTAAGAAAAGAATGATCAGTCTTAATGGATATTTGTCAACAGTGTATGGTTTCTTTAGGGGGTTCAAATTTGTGAGAAAGGAACTTGTGTGTTAGGGCTTGAATAAACTGCAAGGTACAGCCGTTGTATATTAGAATGTTCTATCGGGTGGTGATTTCGGTATGAAGAAAAAGATAGTTAGAACAGATGTTATGTGCTATTTTGAGAAGACTGAGTATAAGGTTATGTTTAAAGGAATTCGGAATAAAACTGTCGAATCGAGTATGTAAGCATTTATGATTTTTTTTGTTTTTTTTACGATAAACAGATGTTGTGAAATGGTTATCTAACCTGCTGATTTGGATATCAAGTAATTTACTATGTTCATTGTAGCTGACTGAAGATGGAATATGTATATTCCGATACGTTCATAAATTAAATGTTTGTTAGTGTACACACACATGTCAGATGTTCGTTCCTACTGCCGCCAGTCTACTGTTCATCATTTCTTCTTCTTGTTTCAATCGAGATAACTCTACAACTACTTTAACGTCAGTTTGAACCTAAGTCCAATATATGTGTTTTTGGGCAGTGCACGATGTCATCGCTTAGTCGTAATAACTTGTAGTAATTTTTAAAAAAAACGAATCCTAGTGTAAACGATGTTATTATCACCCCTTAAAGTTAGCATTTTACAGAAGTCTGGTGTTCCTTTAAAAAGCTTAAGTACAGGGTGAAACAGGAAGTGCCAACCAATAATAGATGAACTTTCAATCTGAGGAAAAACGTCACAAAACAAGTAATAAAAAAAAACGTTTTATAAGTTTAAAATGATAAAGGGATGGTAGTGTCAAAACTATGCAAACAAGAATAAAGGAATGATACAGCTATATATATAGATCATCCCTACATGATTTCAGTATTAAAATTTAATGTTGTACTTTAAAATGCATACTTGACTTACTCTAGTTGGAAGTTATATGTGCCTAACTGTTTTTCTTGTCAGAGTAGACATCAATGTAGTGTAACTAAGAAACTAGGATTTACGTACAAGGAAAATAAAGTTGAGTTAAAGCATGTCTTCATTATTATAAAGTATCGCTACGAGGTTGGTCGAATTGACCGACCTCGTTAGCATTTTTGTAATCGTGCATTTTATAGTGTAACATTATGTTTTAATATTGAAAGTCATATAAGAATGTATATCTGCATCATCCCTATATTCTTG